CAGGGGGTGACACTGGGGATGGCACCAGGGTGACACTGACACCTCTGGGGGTGGCATTGAGGGTGGCACCGGGCAGGGGGTGACACTGGGGGTGGCACCGACACCTCTGGGGGTGGCATTAGGGGGCATTGGGGACATGGGGGTGGCACTGAGGGTGGCACTGGGCAGGGGAGGTGACACGGACACCTCTGGGGGTGGCACCAGGGGTGGCACCTCTGGGGACCTTGGGGACATGGGGGGTGGCACTGAGGGTGGCACTGGGCAGGGGAGGTGACACCGACACCTCCGGGGGTGGCACTGAGGGTGGCACCGAGAGACGCTGGCAGCACTCAGGTGACATTAAGGGACACTGGACGCCCGTGGGGGTGGCACCAGGGGACACCGAGGGGCACAGGGGTGGCACTGAGGGGTGGCAGTGCCCCCCTGGGGACACCCCGGGGACACTTTGGGGACACCTTGGGGACACCCTGAGGACACCCCAGGGACACCCCGGGGACACCTTGGGGACACCCCGTGGGCGGTGCCAGCGCTGTTTATTGGGGTGGGGACAGCCGGGAGTGCCACGTGTCCCCTGGCACGTCACACACGTGTCACACACGTGTCACTGACGGTCACAGCGGTGACACCAGCGCTGTCACTGTTACTGTCACTGCCACCAACAATCACAGCGGTGACACCAGGGCTGTCACTGTCCCCTCTGTCACCAGCGCGTGCCTGGCACCGGTGTCACCGTGTGCCCACGGTGACAGGGCAGTGCCAGGCGTGTCCCGTGTCACCGCCACGGCGCCGGTGTCACAGCAATGCCACGTCCCTGCTGTCACCGCCGTGTCCTCGGTGTCACCGCCGTGTCCTCGGTGTCACCGCCGTGTCCTTGCTGTCACCGTCGTGGCCTCGCTGCCACCACCGTGTCCTTGTTGTCACTGCCATGTCCTCACTGTCACCACCGTGTCCTCGCTGCCACCGCCGTGTCCCTGTTGCCACCGCCGTGTCCCCGCTGCCACCGCCGTGTCCTTGTTGTCACCGCCATGTCCTCACTGTCACCACTGTGTCCTTGCTGTCACCATGTCCCTGTTGTCACCACCGTGTCCTCGCTGCCACCGTGTCCTCGCTGTCACTGCTGCATCCTGCAGGTGGCCGTGTGTCCTGCAGGTGGCCGTGTCCCTGCTGTCATCATGTCCCAGTTGTCACCGCCGTGTCCCGCGGGTGGCCGTGTGTCCTGGAGGTGGCCGTGTGTCCTGGAGGTGGCCGTGTGTCCCCGCTGTCACCGTGTCCCCGTTGTCACCGCCGTGTCCCGCGGGTGGCCGTGTGTCCCGCGGGTGGCCGTGTGTCCCGCGGGTGGCCATGTGTCCCGCGGGTGGCCGTGTGTCCCCTCTGTCCCCTCACGCCTGTGTCCCCCTCCTCTCCTGCAGCCGCTGCTTCAGCTCAGCCATGGCCTGGCGCTGAGGGGACAGGGACAGGGACAGGGACACTGAGGGGACGGGGACAGTGAGGGTCAGGGACAGGGACAGGGAGGGGACAGGGACAGGGACACTGAGGGGGACATTGGGGACACTGAGGGGGACATTTGGGGACATTTGGGGACGCTGTGCTCTCACCCGTTCCGGCGTGTCCGGCGGGAAAATCTCCCTCTGCAAAGAGAGCGGCTCAGGGGAGGGGACAGCGAGGACAGGTGTGCCCAGGTGTGTCCCCAGCTGTACCCAGGTGTGTCCCAGCTGTCCCCAGGTGACCCAGGTGTGTCCCAGCTGTCCCCAGGTGTGTCCCAGGTGTGTCCCAGCTGTCCCCAGGTGTCCCCAGCTGTCCCCAGGTGTGTCCCAGCTGTCCCCAGGTGACCCAACTGTGTCCCAGGTGTGTCCCAGCTGTACCCAGGTGTGTCCCAGCTGTCCCCAGGTGACCCAGGTGTGTCCCAGCTGTCCCCAGGTGACCCAACTGTGTCCCCAGGTGTGTCTCCAGCTGTCCCTAGGTGTGTCTCAGCTGTCCCCAGGTGTGCCCCAGGTGTGTCCCAGCTGTCCCCAGCTGTCCCCAGGTGACCCAGGTGTGTCCCAGCTGTCCCCAGGTGACCCAACTGTGTCCCCAGGTGTGTCTCAGCTGTCCCCAGGTGTGCCCAGCTGTCCCCAGGTGTGTCCCAGCTGTACCCAGGTGTGTCTCCAGCTGTCCCTAGGTGTGTCTCAGCTGTCCCCAGGTGTGCCCCAGCTGTACCCAGGTGACCCAACTGTGTCCCAGCTGTCCCCAGGTATGTCCCAGGTGTGTCCCAGCTGTCCCCAGGTGACCCAGGTGTGTCCCAGTTGTACCCAGGTGTGTCCCAGCTGTCCCCAGGTGACCCAGGTGTGTCCCAGTTGTACCCAGGTGTGTCCCAGCTGTCCCCAGGTGTGTCCCAGCTGTACCCAGGTGACCCAACTGTGTCCCAGGTGTGTCCCAGCTGTACCCAGGTGTGGCCCAGCTGTCCCCAGGTGTGTCCCAGCTGTCCCCAGGTGTGTCCCAGCTGTCCCCAGGTGTGTCCCAGCTGTCCCCAGCTGTCCCCAGGGGTCCGTGCCCACCTTCCTGTCGATCACGTGCCGCTGGAAGAGCTCGGCCTGGTTGGAGACCCAGAACACGGCGACGGGGAAGGACAGGTACACGCACATCTGGGGGAGCACAGCTGGGTCACCCGAGTGTCACCTGTGTCACCCCTGTGTCACCCGTGTGTCACCTGTGTGTCACCTGTGTCACACGTTCCTATTCCCATATTCCTGTTCCCATCCCCATTCCCATTTTCCCATCCCCATTTTCCCATCCCCATCCCCATTTTCCCATCCCCATCCCCATTCCCATTTTCCCATCCCCATTCCCATTTTCCCATCCCCATCCCCATTTTCCCATCCCCATTTTCCCATCCCCATTCCCATTTTCCCATCCCCATTCCCATTTTCCCATTCCCATCCCCATCCCCCATCCCCATTTTCCCATCCCCATTCCCGTTTCCCATCCCCATTTTCCCATCCCCATTCCCATNACCCAACTCTGTCCCAGGTGTGTCCCAGCTGTCCCCAGGTGTGTCCCAGCTGTCCCCAGGTGTCCCCAGGTGTGTCCCCAGCTGTCCCCAGGTGTGTCCCAGCTGTCCCCAGGGGTGTGCCCAGCTGTCCCCAGATGTCCTCTGGTGTGTACCCAGCTGTCCCCAGGTGACCCAACTCTGTCCCAGGTGTGTCCCCAGCTGTCCCCAGGTGTGTCCCAGCTGTCCCCAGGTGACCCAGGTGTGTCCCAGCTGTACCCAGGTGTGCCCAGCTGTCCCCAGGGCTGTCCCCAGCTGTCCCCAGGTATGTCCCAGGTGTGTCCCAGCTGTACCAGGTGTGTCCCCAGCTGTCCCCAGGTGTGTCTCAGCTGTCCCCAGGTGTGTCCCAGCTGTACCCAGGTGTGTCTCAGCTGTCCCCAGGTGTGGCCCAGCTGTCCCCAGCTGTGTCCCAGCTGTCCCCAGGTGACCCAACTGTGTCCCAGGTGTGTCCCAGCTGTCCCCAGGTGTCCCCAGGGGTCCATGCCCACCTTCCTGTCGATCACGTGCCGCTGGAAGAGCTCGGCCTGGTTGGAGACCCAGAACACGGCGACGGGGAAGGACAGGTACACGCACATCTGGGGGAGCACAGCTGGGTCACCCGAGTGTCACCTGTGTCACCCCTGTGTCACCCGTGTGTCACCTGTGTGTCACCTGTGTCACACGTTCCTATTCCCATATTCCTGTTCCTTTTCCCATTCCCATTTTCCCATCCCCATTTTCCCATCCCCATTCCCCTTTCCCATCCCCATTTTCCCCTCCCCCCTCACCCTCAGGATCTCCAGCTTCACCCCCATGACTCCTCCAGGCCCCCCGCGCTTCCGGCTCCGCCAACCCCGCAGCACCGCTGACACCCATTGGCCACACCTCCAGCACCGCCGCATTCTATTGGCTGACAGCGCCGCTGCGAGGGGCGGACCCAAAGCGAGCCGCACCAATCAGAAGGGAGGGCGGGAAGGAGTGCGGCAGAGCCGCCGGAAGTGAGGGCGGCGCGCCGGAAGTGAGGCGGCGCGCGGGAAGATGGCGGCGGCTGAGGCGGAGATGGCGGCGCGGGAGGAGCCGCCGGGAGAGGCGGCGGGAGAGACACCGGGAGAGAGACCGGGAGCGGGGCCCGGCCCGGAGCAGCCGCCGGCAGCGATGGCGGAAGCGGCAGCCATGGCGGAAGCGGCAGCGCTGGAGGAAGCGGCAGCCATGGCGGAAGCGGCAGCGCTGGAGGAAGCGGCAGCCATGGCGGAACCGGCAGCGCTGGAGGAAGCGCGGCCCGCAGCGATGGCGGATCCCGGAGCGGGGCCGGGCCCGGCGCGGCCCGAGTTGTGCTTCGTGAGTGCGGGGCTGTCCCCTCCTGTCCCCTGCTGTCCCCTCCTGTCCCCTGCTGTCCCCTCCTGTCCCCTGGTGTCCCCTGCTGTCCCCTCCTGTCCCCTGCTGTCCCCTCCTGTCCCCTGCTGTCCCCTCCTGTCCCCTGGTGTCCCCTGCTGTCCCCTCCTGTCTCCTGCTGTCCCCTGCTGTCCCCTGGTGTCGCCTGCTGTCCCCTGGTGTCCCCTGGTGTCGCCTGCTGTCCATTTCTGTTCCCCTCTGTCCCTTTCTGTCCCCTATTGTCACCTCCTGTCCCCTGCTGTCATCTCCTGTCTCTTTCTGTCCCCTCCTGTCCCTTTCTGTCCCCTCGTGTCCCCTCCAGTTCCCATTCCTGTCCCCATCTCTGTCCTTGTCCCCTCCTGTCCATTTGTGTCCCTTTCTGTCCTCTCCTGTCACCTCGTGTCCCCTCCTGTCCCTTTCTATCCCCTTCTGTCCCTTCCAGTTCCCATCTGTGTCCCCATCTCTGTTCCTGTCCCCTCCTGTCCCCTCCTGTCCCTTGCTGTCCCTTTTTGTCCCCTTTTGTCCCCTCCAGTTCCCATCCCTGTCCCCATCTCTGTCCTTGTCCCCTCCTGTCCCCTCGTGTCCCCTCCAGTTCCCATCCCTGTCCCGAACTCTGTCCCTGTGTCCCCTCAGGAGGAGCCGGAGCTGTCCCCTGTCCCCTGAGAGTCCCCTCAGTGTCCCCAGTGTCCCCTGAGGAGGAAGAGGAGGAGGAGGAGCTCCTCAGGAACCCGTTCTGGGTGTCCCCAATGTCCCCTCAGGAGGAAGAGGAGGAGGAGGAGCTCCTCAGGAACCCGTTCTGGGTGTCCCCAATGTCCCCAATGTCCCCAATGTCCCCTCAGGAGGAAGAGGAGGTCCAGCAGGGGAAGGAGCTCCTCAGGAACCCGTTCTGGGTGTCCCCAATGTCCCCAATGTCCCCTCAGGAGGAAGAGGAGGTCCAGCA